GTAATACTTTATTACACGCATTCGTCATCTAAAAAAATAAAATAAATACATAAATTACGTACTTTTTAACAAATCTAAATAAAAAAAACCACGAGGTTGATATGTAAATTAAAGTAATTTTTATCATCAACAGAACATTAGAAATAATAATAAGTTGTTAACAAAATGAACACTAACAATTTAGAACAACAAATATAATATATGATATTATGATTATGATTTTAATGGTATTGGTATCAATAAATATAATAAATTGGCAAACAAATTAGTATGATTATTGATTACCATTAATTATTACTTATAAGCATAAGGGTTAATATCATGTTAAAAACACACTTAGCATACTTCTATATTTAGTTTAGACAATTCTATAATTGTGAACATAAATATAATTGAATTTAATACAGTTTATAGAATTACAACAGAATACTAAACTATATCTCAGCTATGCCACTTCAAAAACCTTAGGTCCGAACAACATAACAATTTTGTAATGGAATGAAACACTCCATAACTTTGTAACATATTATTATAACTAGTTATGAGAAAGTTTACAGTTTCAATTTGTGATACCCTTCATATCTATTTTAACTACATCATTCAATAATTCAAATCGAAAATTCATAAACACTTACTGTCGTTGTTGGCTGTAAAAAAAATGTATACTTAGTTCAGAATATATTGCTTCGTTTCTAGTAAACCTATCATTCTTTATTCCATTTTTTTTTTTTGAGTACATATCATGTATTTTTCTGATTTTCGACAATTTCTTTGGTATTCCAATATTTTGTTTTGCGATCGAGCTTAGTTTACACCATATGGTTGTTGATTAGGCAATTTTAAATCTACAACAGGGTATTGGCATAAGGTTTTAGGCAGTTTCTCACACTTAAACAAAGTGTTTACATTGCAAGGCATTGATGTGCATAGCCCAGCTTAACCAGGCAGATTTTGACCGTACATGTATATATCATATTCATACTTCTCTTCATTACTGGAATACAATTTTTTTGAGATATCTATTATACGATCACACCAAATAATCTAATTTCGTAACTTACATACATAGTTGTAACTATGCGTATAGGTATAAGTAATGTGTATATCTGTAATTCATGCGTACATAGTTATACTATGTATGAGTTATATATATATATATTATATATATATTAAAACTGCATGCATGATATTAATTATAGAATCTGATGAATATTGGAAATTTAAATAGCAATAAATAAAAGACAGATAACTCGCTGTTCTGAACAATAGATGTCAAATATTAAGTACGAAAGGAAGGCTCACGAAAAACGAGAGTTTAGCACTTCAAGCGTTAAATTTTCATTACTGGTTGTCATAATAATTTACTCACAAATATATGCATACAATACTCTATAGTTTTTATAAATAATACCTGACTCTACTCGTTTTTTGTTCAAGATAAGTAGTTGATATAATATGCTTCGATTTTCATATAATTCATGACTCTCTCAAAAGATTAACTCAAATCGAAAAAACAGATTAATGGTTATTACAAGATTTCATACTAAAATTTATATTATTTATGTAGGTATACAAAAGGTGAATCGTTTGTGTGAATCGTAAAGTAGAGACAAACAGTAGTCAACTGTATATTTTTCACATTTAATATTTTATACAACTAACTATATCCTATAACTTATTATAGTTATAATAACTCGTCTAATCAAAGCAATATTCAGAATGGGCACAGTAATCTGTAAACTTCTATAGAACTATAACAAATTATATTATATACAAGTATTAATAAAACTGTATTTATAAAAAAAAGGAAATGAAATTACGTACCTAAGTTTTCTATAAATTTAAAAGAAAATGATTAATTACAATAGTAAATAGGTATATACATTTTATTTTCTAACTTAAGAAATAGTTTCCATATAGCATTTTGATTATTTTTGACACACTATTATATTTTAGTATGCAATTTAAATGTTGAAATCAATATACAATAGTAACCATTTATAATGACGTCAAAGGGAGCAAGAAAAATAAGGCATAATAACCGACAGTCATAATTACTTATATACAATTAACAATTACCAAAAGTTATCTATGCAATTTTTCGAGCCCTATACTTAAAAGATATACAATTCGATATGTTACTACAACCAGTGTCATTATTAACGATTTCGAATGTAATTAATTATAAACATTCAAATGTTTCCATAGCAATAATTTCACGACGATCTACGAATAGTCCGCGGCGAGCGCAGACATCAAGCCCTCTCACGGCATCGACCGCAAAATTGTCGAACGCGCCGATTTCACCAGCAACGGAGTGAGGGTTGCCTATATTATACGACCAACGGCGCCTAGTATTGTTCGACACCGCTCAGGGCTAATCGACTAATCAGGCAACGTCGTACCCACCGACACCTGACGAACGTCCTCGATGTGCGAACAAATTAGCGTTAAACCGTATATTATATAGGCAACGCTGTGCCACAGCCACAAGACCGTCGGCACTAACGAACAGTACTTCCGCTGAACTTTTATCCCGGCCGACGGCTAATACCGTCGGACAACCGCGGGAACCAACCAAAATCGTCCTTTTCAGGACGACCATACAGAACTCGACCCCCCAAGCGCGCCTGATACGGCCACGCTACCCGAACGAAGTTCATAGACCGAACGCCACTTGTATAAACGGGCCCTGTATATCAACTTCCTTCTTTCCACTTGACTTGTAATTATTATAAACCATTCACATTTCTGTACGGGTAACCGACGGCCGGGTGGCCCTCGAACCCTCCCCTTTTACAAATTGTAGATAATTAATCTTACCATAGAAATAAACAATAATCTTGTATACAAAAAACCCGAAGAAGTTGTTCATTATTACACGACGGTGCCACGTAAAATACGTGCACCGTTTCATGTTTGGATACGGTAAATATAGGTACCTAGAGACCATTCAAAACCATTTTTCAATAAATACATCTATATATAGAAAAAAAAAATCCTCATGATATATCATTTATATATTTATATATGATAATTTTATTAAAACATTCACGTAGTAAATCATCATTCATGCATACTTCAATACAAAAATTTGTACAAATTTAATAATTTCAATAAAAACATAGACAATTTTCGTCACACCTTTCTAAAAATAGTAATTCTCACCTTCATCAGATCTTAAATATCTAGTATGATGTTTATCCACACATGACTATATCATATGTATAACGGACACATAAGTTATACATATAAGTTACATATAAGTATCACATCTTATTCTTCATAAAATTCCGTCAGAAGCTATTATTTTTTTTTTTTTTTTTTGTTAAATTATATGTAATGTAAACGTATTCAAATTTAATTATTATTAATATCAAAGCATTATCAAATTAGTTTCAGTAGAAATATAGCTATACAATTAACAAGTATAAATATCTTAATAAAAATGTACTTAAATAGAGTAACTTTTTACTTTTAACTTGGATAATCGACATGAGTCTGTAGAACAGTTTTGTTGAAACTAGGTTAGCTTCTATGGGGTTGAATTAGGTTAGTTTCTATCGGGTTTCAAGAAAAAACCTAACAAAAAAAAATAAAAATAAAGATAATAGCTTCTGACGGAATATATACTAGTTTTAACGATATTATGATATTATTTAAGTATGTTTTTATGAAGAATAAGATGTGATACTTATATGTAACTTATATGTGTAACTTATGTGTCCGTTATACATAATATGATATAGTCATGTGTGGATAAACATCATACTAGATATTTAAGATCTGATGAAGGTGAGAATTACTATTTTTAGAAAGGTGTGACGAAAATTGTCTATGTTTTTATTGAAATTATTAAATTTGTACAAATTTTTGTATTGAAGTATGCATGAATGATGATTTACTACGTGAATGTTTTAATAAAATTATCATATATACATATATAAATGATATATCATGAGGATTTTTTTTTATATATATAGATGTATTTATTGAAAAATGGTTTTGAATGGTCTCTAGGTACCTATATTTACCGTATCCAAACACCTGTGACAACCAAGGTAACCTGTAGATCGTTGTAAAAATTATCTAATTATAGTTTACGGTAGATAAACTATAAAGTTAAAAAAATGATAATAATTTACTCTGAATAAGTTTACATTAAATATAGGTATGATGAAGAAAAAAAAACTAACAAAATAAACTAGTTTTAATGAAACTATGAGTATTTATTGCACGCTCTTTGAGACATTTCGACTTATATAATAAATTTAATATTCTATATGTTTTCATTGAAATTTTATGATAATATTGTACATGATTTTATGTATATTAAAGCATTTTTATATGATTTTATAAGGAATTTATTAAGAAATGCTGATATTTATGAATTTATTTATTTATTTTTATATATATTTATATTTTCACATATTATTATTATGTGATGATGGCATTAATTGATTTTATATGTGTGTGTGCTACTGTGCTGTGTATATACATTTATGTATGATTGTTCATCATAATATGAAACATTTAATATCTGATGAACTTGAGAATCTCTATTTTTAATAAGAAGTGATGAAAATTGCCTATATTTTTTATTGAAATTATTAATTTTTACGTATTTTTCTACTGAAGTATATATGAATGATGATTTATTTTAATAAAATTATAATATTTTTTATGTGACTAACGAAGTTATAATATTTTATGTATTAATAATAATTCTAGAAAATGTAATGTAAACAGTATATATGTGTATATATTGTGTGTGTGTTTTTAATAAACACACATAAAATGTATATTTGGACAATGTTTTATTTATCTTTTTATACATATATGAGTGTATGTGTATGTGTTATCACTTACAAGGTATAACTAAATAATGAGGTTAGGTTCGAAAGATTAAAACACAATACATATATACGTATAATAATTAGTTTATTTCTATATAAAAATGTTTACAACTTTTTAAAACAAATTTCCTTTCGAATATAATATTAACAGTTAATTTTAAAATGTCCGTGGGCGTAGGTATGTATTCTATCGGATCGTGCTATCCGTTTATCATCTTGTCGGTTGAAGCATAATTTGTTGGATTTGATGGTTTTAATCTGATGGTTGAATGATCTGATAGAGATATTTTCCCTACACAGTTTAGAGCTCTCTTTTTCGTCATCGGCGAAAAGGCAATCGAAATGATCCTTGAAAGTCATATGATTTTTAACTACGTGCCCTCGGACACCTTTTGCCTTAATTTTCTCCTTGTCTTCTAAAATGTAAGCATATGATTTTGCTCGGAGTGCTATAAACTCTCTCATAATACGTCCATCGGTTTCATCAGAAAATAGTCCGGGAATCTTTTTTCTCTCAGCAATGTAACACGGATGGTCCCGGGGTAGATTTGCTGTGTCCATTCGGTCAATCAAGTTAGAATTATTCACCAGGTCATTGTAAAAGTCGTCGGTCTGGATATAATATACTAAAGAATCTAAAAAAAAAAAAAATATGTATATACCTATTAATAAGATAATAATAGTAATAACAACAATAATAATAATATTTACCTGTATCTGTATACATGAGCTCGATTTTGTCGCCATAATGTTTCTGCATTACGTTATAGTGATAGTCGTACATCAGCGTCTTACTTATGTCTAGTACTGCGAAACCTAAAAAGAAATAATAAATAAGTTTATAAAGTAATAATAAATTGTATGTTAAGTTTATATAGTTACCTATGTATATCGGTTTGCAGAACTCGATAATTTTATTTTCCAGCGAAACGGCAGCTAGATTTTCGCTGTATGTAGTGCAATGTTTAAATGTTTGTTTATTCAGAAGTTTTTGCAATCTGTTTGGACATGAAACTAGTTCCATCTTAAAACGTTTCCGTAAAGATTCCATGGTTTTCCCAAAAACTGCATTGTTTAAAAGTTTGAAGAAATCCTTCTCAAACTCATAAACTCATTTACAGCTTTTTTCCTCATTTCGGTGTTTAAGTGTATATATTTCGCAAGCCAATCCGATTGTCTGAACTCTAAAACTCTGTGCACTTTTTCTACGATTAATCCATTAGCTATAGCTTGCTGTAGGTTACGGTAATGGATGATATAATTTTTTTTCGAATGAAGTGACGCCATAAGTTTTTTTACTCTTGAGCCAGGAGGAATTTTATTCTTGGGTAAAAATGGTAGGTTGTTGTGTTTGTTATGTAAATGTTGTGGGTATGATATGTCTACCTCATACACTCTACCTACATCTGAAGTAGGTGTTAAAACATCCAGTCCGTCTAATTTAGGTTCAACCCATTTAAAGTCTCCGTACGGCATGTACTGTGACATTGCCCACCCGTACAAGTTGTTGCAGTCTTGATAAACTATCCACGATTTAGGCTTTTTCGCGTTATAATCTGGGGTATTTTCATGATTAGCTTTGGCATACCTCATGCTAGCTTGTGTGAGGCCTCCACGAATTGAGTTTTCAAAAATTAAGTGCATGTCATAGTCGGAGAGTAACTCTAGTTTGACGTTAGTGTATTTTAACATGCAGTCGAAACTGAATCCTGGAGCGGTATAATAGTAAACGGGGTCTAAATTGTATGTTGAAATGCACATGTCTCTGAAGTTTTCAAATACATCGGCTAATAATAGAACATCGATTTTGAGATAAAGGTCGCTATATTCTCCGAGATTTTTGCATTTAAAATGATTCCATACAGTCTTGGCGTGTTTGTATTCATTATCGTCTATATTTGATTCTGTTAGTGTACTATAGAAATCGCTTTTTTCTGGTAAATTCGTTTCTTCGAGCTTGTTCCAACTATCAGTATATTCATAAGGGTATACACCTTTACGAGTAACGAGCTGCATATCTTCGGTAAAAAAGTGTTTTGCTGTCTCTCTGAACTTTTCGAGCCCGGGTGTTATTAAATTATCTGCAAGTGTTGATAATTTCGATGCCATGAAACGGCATGAGTCTATGAATCTTATTGAAAAGTTGTTGGTCACGTGTTTTGAAAATGAAATGAATTTTTCTTCACTATTTGGGATAACCGAAATAGTTTTGGAATCGTAACCCAACTCGGTTACGATAAAATGTGCGTCATAATTTGATAAATTGTGTAGAAAGCATGGTATGAAATTCGGTGTTTGAAGCTTGAGGTTGCAGGTATTACACAATGTTTGTCTGAATTTGCCTGATAAGTGACAGTGATCTGCCACTTTATTTTTTTTGTTGGAAAAATTACATTTACACAAATTGCATGTTTGTGTCATCTTATGTGCTGTTTGCTCTTCCTTGGTCATTATGATGGGTTTATTTATTTTAAGCAAATCTTGAACTCTTCTTGCGATCTCTGTAACTTCATTCACGAATCTTTTGGCTACGTCTTGACGAGACTCATTACCACGGAAAATAATGGGTTCTTGAGGTACATTGAACTTTTCTAGCAGATCAATCGGAACATTTTCTGTAGCCTTTACGACAAACCCGTAGCTCATCGGTTCATGTTTTTGAAAAGCTGTTGTTTTTTCGCCTTTTCTTTCTTTACATTTAACTAGAAGTGCCTCGAAATCGGCATATATAACTATCGGGTGCCGTTGAGTTTTTTTCCAACCATCGAACTCTAATATTGTACCGGGCGCAGGCATTTGAGGTAGGATAGGTTTGTTTATTCCACATATCATTTTGTGTTGTTCTAGTGCTGCTTGTCCGCATAGCGTATTTTTCCGGGGCCGACTGTCAAATGATGTGAAACACCGTTTGCAAAAAATTATACTATCATGATGAGCAGTTTTCTGCGAGCGTATTAGTCGTGAGAAATTTGATATTTATGTGTAGTGACTTTTATCTCCGTTGGTAATTAGTAAGAGATCAAAATGATCTTTTTCTTCTTCATCGACGATCTTGAGTGGATAAATAATATGTTTTTCACTCTTTTTTTGTTTTTTTAAACCGTATACGTTAACAGATACGTTCTGGTTATTTTTTTCAAATATTTTTATTTCTGCGATGTGTGTTGGGAACGTTAAATCGGAAAAATTGTATTTTTCTTCGAGCGAAGTATAATTTTCATCCACTTGATTTTTGACTTTACCCGAAACGTGTTTTGATAGGATTGCCCACTTGAAGCACTGTTGGTCTGAGTTTTGGGGTTTGATAATTGCTTTTTTATTTTTGATATAATTTGGTAACGGAATGTATGACGAGCCATCCATAGGTGTATATTTATATACTCCTAACATTAATCCATCTATTGATTGTAATGTAAATCCACTTCCTTTCGAAGTATAGACGTCTTCCTCGGATATAAGATTAGCAAAATCTTTATTAATTTTGGCTTCCATATCTGTGTCCATGAAAATTTCTTTGTCTGAGGTCTTAAATGCTCTGTTCTCTGCAGAATTGTCGACATGTGGTCTATTGTATGTAGCTTCCAATTTTAGGTTATATTTAATTGGGTGTTTAGTTGATAGCGATTTGAGTAATTGTATCAAGTCTCTTTTTGATGTTTCTAGAAAACTACCGTAGTTGGTCAAATTATCTGTATTCTTCATGTAATACCAGTTGATTTTATTTGATAGTGATGTGCCTGTCTTCACAAAACCACGGGTATTGACGATGTTTATGCGTGTTTTTTTAGCATTTGCTGCTTCGTTTGAATTTTCTGTATGATATGGGCGCTTATGACCATTGTGAGATTGAACTGAAAAAAAAAAAATTTTTAGTATTGTATTGCTAAACATTATAGAAGTGTGTGTTACAGCTTGAAAATCTATAAAAGTTTTTAATGAGATAGAAAATATGTGTGAAAAAAAAAATTGTTATTATAGATATAAACTTTTTTTTTTTGTAAAAGTATATCTGAAGAAAAATTAAGAATTTAAAAATAATATGTTAGTGATGTGTTTATCATATAGAAAATACGACTTTTAAAAATTTACATTAATAAAAATAGGTATGTATCAGGCTCTAGTATTACATATATTATATATGTTAAAGCAAAAAACAGATATGATATAGAGCTCTCAGTTATTATAGTAATAATACACAACGTTTTTTTTTTTTTGTGTAGCATGAAATAGTAGTAATAGTAAGTTGTAGATACGCAAGCGTTCGTAATAATATTATTTTAAAATATATATATTTATATATATATATATATTACTATAATATCATAGGAGATAAATTAATATATTAATAAGATATTTACCATTATAATTGTAAATGTGTTCATCTGGTTTAAAAAACTCTTGAATTTCTCGCTTAGTTATGGTTGGTTGTTGTTGAATTACAATGTTTGATTCTAGAAAAGTAATATTATCATTGATTAGATACTTGACAAATAATTTATCGAAAAAATATATCAACGCTTTTTATTATATATTACTTTTATAATGCATATATGATTTATTTTAATAATTAAACACGATATACTTAGCTTTGATTAAATAAAAATTATATTTAATGAATCTGAATATTGTGTTTAAAAATACTTACGGTGTTTTTCCTTGCTATGTCTGATTAGGTTATCTTTTCGTGTTAATATTTCTGAGCATATACTGCATGAAATCTTATTGGATGCATCGTGTGACTTGGCATGTCTGTGTAGACTACTGACCCTAGTAAAGGTCTTATCACATAAACTACACGGGAACATGGTTACGTTAAGACTGAAGAACACTAGTCGAACTTGCGAAACAAGACTTTACCCTTCAACGAATAGATGGGTAATGAGAATTAGTAAAATATAATGTGCTTTAAATATCAGTGTGAAATCTAAGCGATTCGCTAGCGCAAGCGCTAATATCAGAACTAGTGGTAGAAAAATGAACTACGGTTCCCAATAAAGTAGATTAAATTATTTTATTTTATAGTACTTGTAAAATATTTGAATACACTTTGGAACTCAGTATTGACACGACAATACACATAGATGATAGTATATGGACTGATTTCATTTTGCTCCATGATATACTTACCGCCTGTTAATCATCGACAATACTCGGGCATGTCTCTACAGGTCTGTAGTCGTACAAACGATGTGGTAAAGGTGTGCGGAGAAATGATGGAGGGGGGGGAGTTGGAATGTTTAAATGTGTGTGTGTGTGTGTAGATGTAAAAAAGAGTAATAAACGAACAAAAGGACTGATCGACTGGTTGTATTCTAAATGGAAAACTAATGTGTACTATATGGAATACTGGAACCATGCGTGTGTGTGTGTAAATGAATGGTTAACTATATTGAATTATAATTGTAATATTGTGTTACAAATGTAATTGTGACTGTTTGTATCTAATACTGTAGTTTGTAAGTAAAGTTATGATATTTATATGTTTACACTATGTATACTTATATGAAACTTATGCTGTACAAAGTGTCTTATATTGATATGTAAGCTGTTAACAAGATTAGATGTGTGTGATGTTGTATGTATGTATATATTATGTAAGAATGTATGTAGTTACTATAAATGTTATACTATATGTATGTATATATAGATTTATGTGATAATTTTATATGTAAAATATGCGTAATATGTTTAGGTGCTTGTGATAATTATTAAAGGTGAATGTATACCTATATGCAACATATGCTTTAACAATGTGTTTATTGGCAATACCATATAGTTGTATAGTACGTAGTCTGTAAGGTCTCATGATATTTATATGTATGTATGTATGTATGTATGTATGTATGTGTGAATGCTTAGATAGGCTTAGAGTCGAAACAAAGGAAAAAAAGGTCCGATATAATAGTCGATTCAATTGTATACCAGAATATTATATTTAAAAAAAAAAAGTTTTTAAGGGGTATTAAAAGGGGAGGAAATGTATTTTATGGAGAAGAGGTAAAATATAAGTCGGTAACGTGCCGGATCAGGCCGTCGTTGTGACGAGTTTATGTGTTGCGGATTGCCTATACTTAGTAATTAATACAAGTTTGAGCGGTGCATGTACTACGAATTGCCTATACAGAGAAGCCTATGCTTTTACATGTAAAATTTAAGGGGGCGGTGCTGCTGAATGCCCCTTTTCATACTACTGGAAATGTATGATAACTCTTTCATTACAGAAGTTTGAATATACAGAATAAAATATTTAATTTAGTGGTACACGGATTCAGAGCATATTTCTGGAGGTAGGCGTAACAAAACACAAACGTATTTTCAAATAGTTACCTCGAATGACATCATTTGATAATTCTTTATCTTCAGGTTTATCTGAAATTTAATTAAATATATAGTTTTATACTTTTATGATAGATTTATACTAAACAGCATCATTCAATGAGGGTTTTTGTGACGTAACTCTCCCAAAATACAATTTAAGATCGTTACCATAGACACCTAGTGCATGCATATAATGCATTTTAGAGACGAAGGTACTTCACATGGGTTTATTTTATTTAAAGAGAACTCGATGTCAACTATTATTGACATGTGATCAGGGACGTAATAGTAATAAATAACCATACAGAGCATTATTATTTGCACTACTTTTATAATCATATAAAGTGGCTAGGGATGAAATACAGTGGTTATTTGAAGAAATAGATATCAATAATCATTATTTATTGTATTTTTAGGTTGATAGATACTGTGGCATGTCAGAAATTTCGTGCATTTCTGGGCAGTGAGAATGTAGGTTTGTTGCAAGGATTCATAAAATAAGTACCCATAACTTGAATTCAGTTTATATAACTGGTGGTCATATAGAGCAACTATTGTTTACATTTTTTCATTTCAATAAACATTTAGTTAAGTTGATATTTTCTGCGTTATGCACAAAATATGCGATATAATAACTGACTATCTGATCCTGTTCACTTAGTTGCCCGTTAAAAAATACAAACTATATGTGATTCAAAATGCGTGTTCAACTTGTATCTTCATACCCAGCGTAGTGATGTACTAAAATTACCCAGACAAATTCTAGTAAATTTAGAGGAATATCTAAATCTGGTAAAATATCTCTGCAACACGAAAAACCGACAGTGTAGTTCTCGACGGTTTGTTAAATAATAATCAAAGACACACTTACATAGGTACAGAAATAAAATATGAAATCGCAATCAAATCAATCATATTTTATTTATTGAACATATTGCACACCTACAGAATTCCTACAATCCCAAGTTTTCTTTTTTAGGGGTAGAATCTTACAATACCCGTTCTTAGCAAACATCTAATTACTATACATTACCAACTTACCAAATTTAAGTATAAATGTATAATAGATCAAATAGTTTTCCAGGTGTCATATCTAATAGAATATACTACTCTTTTTCATAAATATAGTGACATAGACATATTATTATTTACAAATAATATAGGTACAAATATGCCATATCCTAAAATACTAAGATAGTGACAACGATAAAATCAAAGTATACATAACCTAGGAAGGTAGATTATAGGTTGATATAGGTTAGTGGGGTTAGTGAGTTTGGGGAAAGTTTGCTAAAGTACCATATTAAAATTAAAAAAATTAATACAAACTGAGATATATGTATTCATTGATAGAATTAATTAAAACTAATCCGGGTAATAACAAACTTTCAAAATACCTCAATACATCATACATTTTACTATCCATTCAATGTTTTGTGTTTTGTGTATATTACAAAACATATTTCTTATAATAAATAAATAAATATTTGTTCGTATTATCACCAAACATTCTAGTATATGTAAAACAAAATAAAGGCTTAAAAATTACCTTTAAGATCATACAATCAATGATTATAAATTAAAATTATGTCTAATATACTTTATAAAAAGTTAGTTATAAAATGAATTATTTGTTGGTTATAACTAACTTACTTTTAAATCCAGCATATGTCCCTAGAATTTCTAAAACGTTTTACAATTATTCAAACAATATAATAAACTATGCTTGAGTAGAAAGAATTAAATATTTATTTTTTTAATGGTTTGCTAATATCAAATGACCCAATCATATGCCAATGAATTTTTCTAAACAATACATACGTAATTTTTAAGATAATTTCCTAATAGCCCCAATAATTTATAAACACAACAAGTTCACTTTCAAATACAAAATATAATTTGAGAATACACACCAGACATCAACTTTTAATTTTGTTATGATAATTAATCATATTCTACTTCTTTTCGTTGCCTTCTCCGAACCATCTATAATTTAAAACTCATCCGATTTGATATCCACCTCTTCAAGTGTCATCCTTCACTGTGTTTTTCTAACTCTGAAAACTTTTAGTTTTACTAGGGGTCTATTTTCTTGAAGATTCTGTTCTACCACAGCTCTTAGTTTCGTTTACTTATTGCATATCCTGCCCAGTGATAATAGATTTAATTATGATATTTTCATTGTATATTGCTCGTAAGTTATAACTCTCTATTTTTTCGTTTTATCTATTATCTTGTTTAATTTTTCATAATATTTGTTTCCACGAGTACAAAATACTTTATATCAGAACTAATACTAAGGTATTATTTGTTTACTTAAAATTAATTTATAATATTACCTTCACAATAAACTAAAAAAATTAAAATTAAACATTTTTATTATTCAATCTTGTCTATTTACTGTAAATTATGTAAATATTTAACAATATTTGTTTTTTTTTTGTAATCGTCATTCAATGTTTAAACAACTAGGTACTTATACAAATTATATTCTTATAATATGTAGAAGAAAATTGTTTAATGTATGTTGATAATATAATTTGATTGATGGACGACTAAAATAAAATAAAATTTCTTTATGTCCAACAAATGTTATGACTCATAAGTTATGACTGTATGAGTTATACCATTTTTAATAGGTAACATATAACTAAACTTCAGCGGATAAACTAGCATAACTATTTACAGGTATAATATTATTAGTAAATGTATGGTTTGGCTCGCATTCGGCTTTAATAAATCATATACTGATATACTAATTAGCCTTAACGACCGAGAGAATAGGCAACTCAATGCACCATCGCCCCTAGTGTAGTAGTAGGAAATGATATAATTGTTTTTGGTTATACTTTATTAAAACAAAAACTGTTTACAACTATAAAAATAAAAAACAATGTGTATAAATATACCAACTGCCACTTGGTAAAATAATAAGATCACAATACTTATTTTAATAATGAACCCGTCGGTCAATATAATATTAATAGGTGGTTCACCACATACCCTTAGAGGTTATGACGTTTTGAGGTGCCGGGATCCGTATAATAATTAAATTAATACAATACAGAGTACAGGTTTGATCCCGCACACACTCAAGAACGCCGCTAACCTCAACACGACGAACAATTCACAATACAAGGCTTCTACAGCAAATACACACAACTCGACGAACCACGAAACTCACAATTTTCTGCTGGCAATCAATGACCTCCCTATACTAGGGGAAAAAACTTTTAAATGTTTGACAATTAATGTGCGAACGATATTTATCAGACAGGAGAAATCACAACCTACTCAAGGAAAAACGTGGTTCGACGGCTGCAGCAAGAACAAGGATGAACACACGTGCCTTCACGACAGCAAACGGCCGAAAAAGAAATATGAGTGGCCAACGACCATTATCACGAAGGCTCCGGCCGCCGGTCAACACGATTAAGCCTTTCAGTGTACCACAATAAACTACATTAACAAACTTAAGGGAACTTTTGTGACACTGAATGCATGAATTGACTATTCACAGAACATAATACAATTTATAGAATACACTTATCGCTCATAACGGAAAGTAACGATCTTACACGGGCACTGTGGTGTGGTCAGCCCACGACAGCTGTTGCTATCATCGACCGCGCTGCAATACGCGTGATAAGAATCGCTGAGAAAACATTGATAAAACACACCCATGAAATAAAGCCATATTGGCTCTAAAATGTATGATAATATTAACAATATGTTAATTGAAAATTAAGTAATGGTGTAATTTCTGTTTGTTTCTAGATTATAATTAAACAACAATATTCGGTTTTCACAGAATTTAATAAATTCTAGAGCAATTTAAAACCATGACATATAAATATCGACAATTTAAAAACTATAACACAAATAATAAATATAATCGTTTTACATCAGTATATTAACTCTTACGCGTTAAATGATCTTTATCTTCTGCAGTAGATACAGGCATAATCCAAACTGCAATAGCTATAAATATAAGAGATATTAAACAATGTTTAAAATAAACCATTATGATTTAATAAAAAAATAAAATAAAACTTATATGAACGTAGAACAATAAATGAATTCAAAGATTACTCTAGGATTTCTTTTATAAGTGGTTCTCCTCAGCACAATATAAATAAGGTTCACAATAAGTTATTTATTTAGTAACAACATATGTAATATAACATGTGCAGCATAACATTATTCTTTATCTGTCTGTGAACGCCAAATGTGTTTATTATTTATATCGCCTCAGCAAATAATGAAATTGAATATTAAGCCATGATAGCTAGCAGTTGAATAGAAAAGGTGATGCTACCATAATACTAATGTACACAATTTTTTTCGCACAGATGTATATAAAAATGACTAATCAATATCAACGTGACTATTACATTTGAATTTAAATAAATGCAATATGCAAAATTTATTTAATTCAATTTTAATTGTATCAGTATGAATTAATTTAATTTAAATGAAAGTTTTATCCACTACCACATTAATTGGTACTTACTATCAATCTGGCGTAAAAGAGCAAATAAATTTCATTATTCAAAATTTATTTTTTGGTAATTTTCTTGGCGTTTTAACTGATCGTTGAATAATATTTCTCATATTTCCAATAACTGTAACCTCCACTGAGAAGTCATTTTCAAAACTGAAATACATTGAAAACTACTAAGAAATTCCAAGTCTCATAAAATACTTAGTAATATTGTTGTTTTCAATATAGAAAGAGGCACACTTAATGAACTAGACATAGAAAAAATAATCGATTAAAAATAATTCATTAAAATTTAAATTTAGGGGCATTTAAACAATTCGATAAATATTTATCTAAAAATCTATACAAATCAAAAATTTCGAGTTCGAAAAATGCAATGCGAGTCATCGGTTATGGATGACACCCGATGATACTCTACGCACGCATTAGGAACTGATCAAACAGACCCCACATAAGACTGCTTGCTTTTTTTCTGTACGTTATAATAGCGTGGTTTGTAAATTCCGATTCAATTTTTAATTCTCGCAGCGACATTCTAAACAGACAGAGATTTCAATCTCATACCGATTAATTCATAATTCCAGTTTCAAATTTTCCAGAGTGGCACAACGAATATTTGTTGTACATAATGTTATGGCATACTGTTAATTCATAAAATGTTTTGTAACAGTTTCCCTCACTCGAATGGTATAAAAATCTCATTAGACTTATTTCTAGACTGATTCGGGCTAATTAAGAAAAAAAAATTAGACGAACTACAAAGTTTAGGCACTAAATATTTTTAATTTATTTAGTTCGTTTTGAGCATATTTTTATAGCAGTACCAACGTTATTAACTCGATACTGCTACGTCGCACAAGAGTGTTTCTACAGCCTACTGTGTTATGACTTATAAACTGAAGACTAAAACACATGTACATTATTGTAGTGCACCACATGTTATTAAATTAATTATTAAAAACGCAATACACAGCTTACAAAATTAATATTTTTAAAAAAAACAAAAGAATAAGCCATGTCGTTGTTGTTTATTTAAATATATCATTTCCATCAAAATTGAACTTAAAATATCTAAATAAAAATAATATTCTCGTATATTTTTTTTAGAATTGTTGGTTATTTTATAAACTACTATAAACTACTGATAAACTTTGTTTAAAATATTTAATATTTAGCTATTAAAATTAAACTTTTTTAGCAGTATTAAATAATGTTTTTTGCAATTGTCGACTACCTACTATATAATTATCGAATTTTACATGATTTTTACAATTTTTATAAAAATTTGATATTTAAATCCTGAAAAAAAAATGTTATTATCTCTGACCAAAAACAATTTTCATTTAGTCAAAGAACCATTTTGTGTACAATTGCCTGTTTTCCTTTAATTTGGGTTTTTATATTTTCCGACGCTATTAAAAACTAATGAGAATTTTCTATTTTAGCTTATTGATTACAAAAACTCGATTCGCTTCGAAACATTTCAAAATCAATCGTATTGTTTTTGAGTATTATATTATATGTGCATTATTTGAATGTATACATAAAAAAAAAAATGTGGGTTGTTTCGGTTAGGTGTGGACTGTATTTAAAAAGACATGAGAAACAATATACGCACTTTTTGTTAATTAATGTTTAAATTTATTATAAGTTTGAGTCGCTTGCATTAGCGACGCGTACGTTATGACACAAGTATCGCGACTGACGGACGGTGACAGATAAGATTATCGTTGCAACATATAACATAATCTCACGATATAAAAATACGACAATATTCATATTGAACATCAAAATTATTAAAGCCTTAACATACCGGCCGCCTTGGAACGCTAAGTTTCAAATAAATAATACAATAAATGCAAATATTATACAATAAATAAATAATACAATAAATGCTAATGATATTATACAATAAATAAATAATACAATAAATGAAACACATCTAAAAAAAAATACAATAATAATACAATTTAAATAATTTAATATAATTAAATACATAGATTTTTTTTTTTTTAATTATCGTCAAAAGGTAATGGACATAATTTGCGGATGCTTCTTTTACATTCCCAACCTTGACCTGCTACAGTAGCCACTCTGATTTCACCATCACTCCCTTGATGTACTTCTTTAACTCTTGCCATACGCCATTGAAGTGGAGGTAAATTATCTTCACGTATAATAACTACTGTGCCCACTTTGATTGACCTGCCCTTGTTCTGCTTCCATTTTTTAATTTCCTGAAGTTGATTCAAATATTGTTTTGACCAATGTGACCATATTTGTTGCGTCAAGCGTGAAATTTGTTGCCATCTATTTAAGCGATTCATAGGTGTATTATTTAAATCTGGTTCAGGAATAGCGATAAGAGAGTCTCCAATTAAGAAATGTCCCGGAGTAAGATAGGATAAGTCTGAGGGATCTGTTGAGAGGGGTGTTATTGGCCTCGAATTTAAACATGCTTCAATTCGTATTAAAATAGTGTTTAATTCTTCATAAGTTAAGGATGCATTGCCTAACGTTCGATAAAGATGATATTTGATTGATTTAATAGAAGCCTCCCATAAACCGCCAAAATTAGGTGAACGTGGTGGTATAAAATGCCATTTTATTCCAATATCGGTTGTGTCTCTATTTAACATCGATCGATTTTTCTCAGAATAAAGTAAATCATGAATTTCAAGTAAACGACGATTTGCGCCAACAAAATTCGTAGCGTTGTCGGAATAAATATCGGATACAATTCTTCGGCGACTTACAAATCTACGCAATGCGTTTAAGAACGACTCTGTTGTAAGATCGCAGACTAATTCAATGTGAACAGCCTTTGTTGCAAAACAAACAAAAACACATATGTAGCCTTTAACAAGTGGAGAATTACGTCGTAGACCACTTTTAATCATTATAGGACCTGCATAATCTATACCACATTTTGAGAAAGGGCGACTCGGAGTTACGCGATCTTTAGGTAAATCACCCATAATAGGCTGAAATACGACGGGTTTTAACTTAAAACATGGTATGCATTTGTGTACAATACTCCGAGCTATATGTCTGCCGTTTATAGGCCAATATGTAGAACGAACAGCGGCTAACAGAGCTTGAGGTCCGCCATGCATAATCTTACGATGTTCGTTTTCAAATATTAATTTGGTAAATACACTACGATGTGGTAATAATATAGGATTACGTTGAAATATATTTAATGCGATAGCATTTCTTAATCGACCACCTACCCGTAGAATACCGGTTTCATCAATATATGGCCGTAATTGACAAAGATTACTTTTACGCGGTATCGGTGTTTTATCTCGTATACATTGTATTTCGTGTGACCAGCATTGTAACTGCACTATTTTAATTAAGACAATGCGAGCCTTCGCATATTCTTCTGCTGATATTACGCCAGATAATTTTCTGTCGATAGCCGTGTTTCTGTCAAATATGTGTAATTTTACATTGTGGATAAAT